CACTCGCTAAGACAGCACTAGCGCTACGAGCATGCGATCGCTGCACGCCGGCCTGCGGCTCCGAGGGACATTCCCGCCACTGCAGAGGCACAGTTACTTCAAGCGCTTTCAGCAAGAGGTAAGAAAGTGGCAGAATAGACTAAAGATGAAGTAACTGTGTGATGAAGACAACTAAGTCTATGACTGGCTGAAATATAGCACTGCACACACTGGGAGCTGTAGATATAGCAGTTTGATATAATAGTTCCCGCCACTGCAGAGGCACAACTACACTCGGCATCAAATAAATCGCACCTCCCGCGACAAGCACTTATCAAACGTATGCATCCCCACTTCCCACCAACATTGGTACCATTTGAAAGCCTAGTTCTAAACTTCATTTCATTAAAGGAAAGGTTTTTACCCCAAAAATGTGTCTTTATAAGGATCCAGAGTCACTTCTTCAAAAAATAGGTAGTTACGCTATAGCCATTTTTTATTACTATAAAACTGTTAAGTTGGGATTAATCGCTATCCATCTGTTAAAGAGGACACGTGAGATCTTTATTTGGTTTTATAACCATAAAAATTGGTCTAATTGATCCCAGAGGGAAGCCCAAAGTGAGGTCTATTTTCAAGTCACATTTATGGTATATGTTAATCATTTATTTAGAAATGAAATGTATTTTTCTTTAAGGATATTTATTGGGCTTTCAAATAACACCAATATTGTTGGGGTACTATGATTGTGTCAGAAGAAAATCTTTAAAGTTCGCGTCGCGGAAGGTGCGGTTTATTTGATGTTGAGTGTACTTCAAGAGGTAAGAATAGTGGCAGAATGGACTTCTTATCCCCCGCCATCTCTCTGTTGGCAGACTGCCTGGTGCAGTCACCTACGCGGTTTCCCACTGCCAGCACAATATGCTTGTATTACGAGGTTCACTGAGTCCAGCAGCAATCAGCTGCAAATTAATATTTAATATCTTTAGGCTGAGTTGCACCATCTTACTTTAACTTTAACAAACGTCAAAAATCTGTCAAACACCATACAAAAACACCGATTATTGTTATAGTTACAGTTAAAGTAAGTTAATGCAAAAAAAAACTCAGCCTGCCTTTTCAGGACGGAGCAGCGCCGGGAGTCCCACACACCACTCTGTCCCCCGGCAGTGGTGACGGTGCAAAGAATTTCCTTGGCGACAAAAAAAAACCTCAGCCTAAATAAAAGATTATTTTGTCTGCGATGCCTGTCTATCATACATAATGAATTCAAGATGAAATTACGTCATGCCTCAGTCGGCACCGCAACGTTTACGCTCACTTTCACCGCTAATTGGTAATTAATGTAAATGTTCCGTTTCAGGTGATAGAGGAACGCGCGAAGACCACCAAGACATTGTTGGAGTTCGTCGCTGAACACAAGCTACTGTTCACCAGTACGGATTTTGTTAATTTTCTGCAGGTAATTTAGTTTTTTAATTCATTTATTTAGCTTATTTCACTGACGCTTATTTAACTGAGTGTAAATTTTCGCAAAAACTTTTCTAATTACTATGTTAATTTCAAATTAAGGTAATATTTTATTAAAGAAAATTCTTCTTTTAGTTCCTTGTTGTTATTGTTAAAAACTTTTATAGTGATTATTTTAGAACAAGATGGCGCTCTAAAATTACTTTATTTACTTTTCAAAATTAATCATAATGGTGCATATTTGAAGAACACTGGTGTTTCCAATGTTAAATGTTAAAGAAACAATGCAATGACTTGGTTTTGTGAACCTTTTCAAGGCGAGAGTGAATAGGCACTTACCTACAGGGCAGATATGTACCATCCTAGACTGCATCCCACTTAACATCAGGTGCGATTGTGGTCAAATACCTGCGTTGTTATGCATAAAAAAACACGATTTCGCCAATGTTTCGTTAAAGTTACAGTATACATATTTGTACAGTTTAGCATCTAGAGGAATTTAATGGGCTAATCTAGAATCTAGAGGAATTTAATGGGCAAATCTAGAATCTAGAGGAATTTAATGGGCAAATCTAGAATCTAGAGGAATTTAATGGGCAAATCTAGAATCTAGAGGAATTTAATGGGCAAATCTAGAATCTAGAGGAATTTAATGGGCATTTCGGACATGTCGGCCGTTTGGTGTAGTGGTTCAGAGCGGACTACTATGCCGAGAGGTCCCGGGTTCGATTCCCGGCCGGGCAGAAATTGAAATGATGAATTTCAATTTCTGTGACGGGTCTGGGTGTTACTATGTATAATATGTATGTATTTAAAAAAAAAGTATATAAGTAGTATATCCGTTAAGCTAGCACCCATAACACAAGCATTAAGTTGCTTACTTTGGGGCTAGCTGGCGCTGTGTGAAATTGTCCAAAGATTTATTTATTTATTTAAAGATTGCTTGAGGTTAAGAGGCACTAATTTACCACCCTTTCACAGACAGGCTACCCCGAGCCGGAGCCCCAAGCTGGAAGCGTCATCAACGCGATCAGGTCCTCACTCCACCTGCCTATCGAGGAGACGCCTCCTTTGGAGTACCAGACCGACGATGACGATGCGAGGAGCCCTGCACATAGTGGTGAGTCACCATCAGGTCATTTAGTCTTCACTGCAGGACACACGAGCACAAGCTCTCTAATTATTAGATACTAGCGGCCGCCTGCGACTGCGATCCCGTTTTACCCCCTTAGGGAGCGTCCATTTACGCGAGACAAATTTGGCTATATTTTAGCCCCCCACCCTTGGTGAGATTTCATGAGATTTTGCCAGACCCCCTCCCCCACCCCCTAATCTCACATGAGATTTTCCAAAATGCCTATTTGCAATGTAAATGAGATAATCCATGCTTCGAAAATATTAGATTTTATAAAAAAAAACACGACCTGCGTAAAAAAATTAACTGAAATGAAAAACAAAACAATATAGGCCCAGTTTTTTTTTTACTTTTAGTACAATTTTTAACTATTAGTTTACATTTTGTTAATATTTAAGCATTGGTTAGCAAACTGCGGATCAAAAAACTGGGCCTGTGTTCACAAATGCAGACGGAGTGCAGTGAAATGCAGTGGAAAAAAATTACGTGATATTAAGTCCCCCCCCTAAAAGTCTCACGTAATTAATGGACGCCCCCTTAGGGGTGGAGTTTCGTAAAATCCTTTCTTAGCGGATGCCTACCTACGTCATAACATCTACCTGCATGCCAAATTTCAGCCCGATACAGACAGACAGGAAAGCGACTATATTTTATAATGTAGTGATTATTTTAATTTAGACTTGGCACATACTCGTATATAGGTGGCGCAACGAGAGTTGAGGCCATCAACACAAGCAACTGGTCATCAAAAAAATCGACCCTCCCGCGACAAGCACTTTCAAACGTATGCATTCCCACTTCCCACAAATGTTGGCACCATTTGAAAGCCTAGTTCTAAAGTTCATTTCATTAAACGAAAGGTTTTTAACTTTTTACCCCAAAAATGTATCTTTAAGGATCCAGAGTCACTTCTTCAAAAAATAGGTAGTTACGCTTGAGCCAACTTTTATGGTTTTAATACTGTTAAGTTGGCATTAATCGCTCTCCATCTGTTAAAGAGGACACGTGAGATCATTATTTGGTTTTATAACCATAAAAATTGATCTAATTGATCCCAGAGGTGAGCCCAAAGTTAGGTTTCAAGTCACATTGATTGTATATCGCGTTTATGTTAATCGTTTATTAAGAAATTAAATGTGTTTTTCATTAAGGATATTTATTGGGCTTTCAAATAACACCAATATTGTTGGGGCACCATGATTGTGTCAGTAGAAACGAGTTTTCCTGTAAAACGTAGGTGGGCCGATTTTTGTGATGACCAGTATATTTGTATCTGACAAATGCTCTGTCTGGCTTGCGAAGTTGCTATAGTCTATCCAATATAGCTTGATTAGAATGACGGCTGTCAAACGAATGTGACTAGTGCTGGGTATGTTTCGTACGGTTCACATAGATGTATCGATAAGTTTTCGAAAAAATGATCTATTTGATCTTAAATGAATGTCTTGTTTGTGTTCTCTATTCAAATATTACATCAGTGTGAATATTTATTCGCCTCAACTTTCGTTGAGCGAGCTATACTAAAAATGAAATGCGGTTTCATAAGATGCTCTAGTTTCATTCTTTCTACTGGTCATATGTTACAATCTTTACTTTTATGAGCTCATTTAAATTTTAAACGAATAGAATGTCTGATGATAAAATGTTGATTACTTTTACACTTCCGAGTTTTGGACCAAGTTTTCCTTATTTCTACGTTGCAAAGTCCAACGCAAAAGTTTAAAAGTATACAAGTTTCCTTAAATAAAATGAAAACAGGTTTATAAATCATTCTGTTTAGAATAAAGATACCTATACAGTTATACACTTTTTGAATTTGTATTTTGGGCGTTATTAGAAACTACCTAAGGTTATTCTTGACTGTCATTATGTTCTTGTCTTTAATATACCTTTTTTCTACATCCAGCGAGGCCACAGCAAGCGCCACAGACCACAGACCAGCTATCCATAGACGAAACAGACTTCATATCCCAAATACCGATATACGAAGCAGCCGACGTCGAAATCCGTCAGTCCCCAGACCAAAAACTATCCGCAGCAGATAGTTTCGAGTCTATAAATTCTTTGGACAGCATAAACAGCGACCTCTATGATGAACTAAGCAAAGTAACCATAGACAAGCCGAGACCATGCGTCAGAAAGAATGTCTTGCCAGATTTGATCCTTTTCGATGCACCATCGACTTCTACGTTTGAAGATTACCACACTATGCCCAGAAGTGGCAACACAGATTCGGAGACTACGTCACTAGCGTCGAACGTCTATGGTTCTATGACGTCAGTGAATGAGATTGAAAGACGAAGCAGCTCGAAGTTGTCTTTGTACAGCAAACGGAGTGTGCTGTCTCTTTCTAACGTGGAGTGTAAGACGAAGACGGAAGATAGTTACGTGTTTGAGGCGGGGTATATGCTGAATTTGGCGGCGCGGTGCGAGAATATGGGAGACTTCCAAAGGGCATTCGAGTGTTACAAGTCTGGTATAGAGAAGATGCTGATTGGTGTTCAAAGTGAGTACATATTTTTTGTATTATAATGTTTAAATTGACATTTAGTATGGAAATGACATTTCCAAATCAAATGTCAATTTAAACAAGTGATTAACGCCCATTAAGTTTAACTATCAAAATGCGAATGTGTATAAAACCGACAAGTTTATTATAAATATTCTTTTTGCCTTATTTTGTCTTATGATAGTGCATTAAAATAGGTGTTCCAAGCTAGCAAGTGTCTCTTATAATGGCACAAATAGAAATAAAAAGACCCATCTCAAAGTCAAACCCATCAGACTAAACAAAATGTTAACTTCTCCGTATTGAAGAAGTTAGAAAACTGAACTGTTTTGACCCATTTCTCAAAATGACATCCAGAGTTGACACAATTTATATTACGTTCGAATAAATTCTACATCAGTGTCCCTAAAACTGAACCACAACCTCTGATTCATAAGATTCAAATTCGCCTACCCCTTGAAACTTGTCAAATATGAAGCCATAAAGATGTGAATGGTGAAATCTGACAAACTCAAGTACATAATGTATTTCAAACATTGTTTTAGTGCTTGTAAAACAGTGATTCATCGATAGATCTCGGCTGGATATCGTAGGGTCGCGATAAATAATGATAACATGTCGATAACGTATTATCAGCTTCTAGGGCTGTGGCTTGACTTTAAGCGGAAAACTAGTACGACGAGTCTATTCCCACCTGTCGTTCCCACCGCTGCAACTCCTGTGTAGCCAGGATCTACAGCTTGACTACCAATAAAAACCCAACCAGTCAAAACAGTACGAATATACTTACTTACTTCTCTAAAATAAAACCTCATTCTTACTCCAAAAACTCAAATACTTTTAGTGTTTTTAAAATAGACTTGTTATTAATATTTAAAAATTAATTACATTTTGGTACTTAAAAATTCAGTGAACCAGTGACGTCACAGCTTTCTGTAGTCAGGCATACTAAATGTGTAAGAAAATTATTTTTATGGAAATAACTAATTTTAATTTAAAGCCATTCATTACTTATACTAATGTAGAATAAACGACTACTTGTTGTTTAATTACTCGCCTAAAAAAACAACATTTGGAAGAATCAAAACATACTACTCAAAATAAAAAGAAACAAGGAAGGAAGCATTTCCGTAGTACAAGGTCTCCAACAAAACAGCTTCTTCCGCCAACATTGTTCATACAAAAAAATGCTTTTGTCTGACAACAAAATATCAGTCGACGTGTATCTGAAGTCTCTATTTGGAACTAGTGCAATAGAAGCTCTCAGTCAGGCCACAGCCTTACAATTGTCATGTTTGACGTCTAGGCTGGTCAACAGACATGGATTTTGTGTATTTGTGCGATTATGTGCTGGAATATGGAAATAAAAAGGCGATTACTTATAAAACTACAGGTAAAAAATAACTTATGGTGCCCCTCTTAAGACTTGGATTTTCATATACTGTGAGTGTGGATGAGTTTCTTACGCTGCTTCTTCTCAGCACTAGCCCATTTATGTCAGAAATTAAAAACATGCTTAAAGACCCAATACACTGAACTGTCCCACCTGTGACATGGACATGGGGCGCCACCGTCAATACCGGATCGCTGGTTCCGATTTTTGCCATGATGGAAACTATATAGTTGAACGATGGTGGCGCCCCCCTGTCAATGAGTTAGGTGGGACAGTTCAGTGTAGGTCATCTATAATTAGATTTAACTTAATTGAAAGTGTCACCACTGTACCATCGGCAACAGTGTTAACTAAATATCCTTAAATATCCTTGGACATTTTACACTACGCTTCTAGTCCCAAACTAAGCAAAGCTTGTACTATGGGTACTAGACAACGGATATAAACATACTTAAATACTTTTTTTTTTGTAAATACATACATATTATACATAGTAACATCCAGACCCGACACAGAAATTAAAATTCATAGAAATTAAAATTCATCATTTCAATTTCTGCCCGGCCGGGAATCGAACCTGGGACCTCTCGGCATAGTAGTCCGTTCCGAAACCACTTCACCAAACGGCCGACGGTTAACTATCCATTGCCTGTCATGTCGTCTCGTTCTATCGCAAAGAATCACCATTTGATGAGAGCGAATGCAAAAACGGAAATGGATAGTTAACAGTGTGGCCGTGTGCACACTATGTAATTTGTGATTTTTTATATTTCTGATTTCTCTATTTCCAGGTGACTCGGACCCTCAGAGGAGGGCCCTCATCAAGGAGAAGACGAACAAGTACTTGTCCTACGCCGAAGCCATCTACAAGAACCATCTCTGTGATAACGAGCAAAGCGTGAGTATTTGGGTTATTTGTGTTGTACTTAAGATAAAGGCAGATAAAATATGTACCATCCTAGACTACATCTCACTTAACACCAGGTGCGATTGCGGTCAAATACCTGCCTAGTCTTGCATAAAAAAAGGTTTTAATCATTAATTTTGTTAGATAAAACATAGACTTTATAGTCTTATAGCAGCCGTCATAGAGCAACCTCTTTACAAATATTTTACTAAATATAAATAACGATTAACAGACAGACACAGAAGTATAGTATTAAAGAAGGTAAATAACTACATGAAAAAGAAAAGTCTGGAGATAAAAGGCTTGATTAATTTCGAATTCCTGATAATTTGTTTTAGTTGTCTCTAAAGATGATTTATTAAACATCAAAATATCTTGAGATTCTTATAATTTGACTGCAATCCTGAAAATAATTTAAATATCTGAACTATGGTAAGTATGGTAACCCTATTTTCATGGGAAACCCTCGTGGGTCATTCATAGCATATTATGTATCAAAATATAAATAAAAAGATTATGTATCAAAATATAAATACAAAGATGAATGAGTGTCCTAATAAGCTCCGACTTCGAGATAAATCGATTCATTAATACTATTGATTAACGTCAAAAATAATAATATACCCGTCTCTCTCCCCCAGCTGCTGCCAGAGCGAGACACAACATTAAAACCTCTGCACTGCCCCCTACCGGCCGCTATGCTCAAGCGGCCGTACGAAGACTTAGCGCTATACAGGGTGTTGGCTGTTCTAAGTTCAAGTATTATGCTAGTTCTGCATAGGGAGGAACAGACTTGCTATGCTATGAAGGTGAGATGTTCAAATTCTTTAGAATGTAGACGCTTTTTTAAGACATTTTTTGTTATCAGGAAATCTGCAATATGAAAATCAAAACTCATTCAGTGATAATAATAAAAAAAAACTAAAATGTAAAAAGCTAGGTTTCAGTAACGTGGCAGAATAAAACCGACTCTTTTTTAAAAAAGCATCTAGAATTTAAATTAAATACTATCTTGTATCTCAATTTAAAGATTCTGCATCCAATTTCTAAGTGGTACAGAAATTGTGTTTCAATAGACTGTCATTTGTTTATTGTACAATAAAAAGTATCTATTAGTTTTAAAGAGTACTTATTTATTCATTTTTTATTTCATTACAGGTCATCCAAAAAATACCGCACAATTTAACTGAATTCGACGAATATTTCCTGCAACGTACCAAAGAAACCCGCGAACCAGTTTTACCAACCGTTATACCATACATGGTGCCCCTCCACGCGTTCATAGAAACTAACAACCTAATATTTCTAATACTATCCTACGCCCCAGGCGAAAAACTATTCGATTACATCAAAAACTACGCGAAATCCATCCCTAATACCCCAGCAAGAGAGGTCAATTTGGAAAACGTATTCTCCGAACCGAAAATCAAAACAATTGATGTCGAAAACGATAATATTGAAGACAAAGTTGAAGTAACAGATGTTAATGTAGAAATAAATGAAGAAATAGTTAACAATAATGAAGTAGAAACAACCGTTTTGGACAATTCAGACCTTAGTGTGAACGAAATAGTGTCGAATTCTCAGAAATTGTTGAAGAATGTTGACAAAGTGTTGAGTGAGATGAAAGGTAAAGACGATACCAAAGTGGGTGATAAAGTGAACATTGATAACTCTGAGAGGAGAGACGTTGTTACACCAAATCTTAATCGAGTAAGTATTGTTTAGATATTTTTAATGCACTTGAAACTCTTTAAAATACATTATTTGTAAACATAACATCATCATCATTAAATTATCATCAATAAAAAAAAACTTTAAATAACATAACCTACAAGTGACATCTAACGTATTAACGGGCAAGGAATCACGATTTATAGATCAGTGTATTTAAAATAGCCACATTGTATGGTTCATATCTGGTGTATAATAAATCACATATGAAAATTATAAATAACTTGAAAAAATCGAACTGCCTAAGGCGGGACCTTCCGCTTGCCGGGCAGTTTGAGATGCGACTCTTAACGCTAAAAATTAAATAACTAAATCACATATGTTTATTACGATTATTTATTTTATTTAGTAATAGAACGGTAGTACCAATTACACTAAAATTATGAATCTGACATGAAACATATAATAAAATAAAATAAAAAAATGTATTTATTGCCTTCGAACCATTAGACATAGGTAGGTACAGGTAGTTAGACTTACCACTAATAAGTACAATATCGCTATATTAGACCTACTGATCATAAAAGCCATACCTATTACCACTAATATTGTTCTGCTCCTTTCTCTCTATAGACTCTATACACTATCGCTTACAATGGACTAAAATTACTAAATTACCATCATCAACTTAGTTAAACATCAAGCTATACACTGTAGGATCTTATTAAATGGCAATAGGTGTTATTTTGCAACAAGAAACAATAGTGTTCTCCACTATGTATAGAAGTAATTTTCATTTTTTTTAAAGATTACTAAAGTTTACGCATAATTTCCAGCTTACTCCAAGGCCGAAAGACGTTCTACCGCCATCAGCTGTTTGCAAGTGGGGGGCTGAAATACTAACTGCCATTGAGAGCTTGCACAACTGTGGAGTGATTTGCAGGTATGTTTGTAGTTATTTAACTAAAGATAACTAAGATAAATCTGGAAGCCTGTAGGCCTAAGATGCGCATTGCGCGCCGCGATAAGCGTTTATCACGCCACTTTATCGATGTTACACGATAAGCCCATAGATTTGTCGTCTAAAATCATCGATAAGATTTTATCACGGAGCGCATCCTAGCCCGGCTGGGGTCTCAAAAAATATCTTTTAGGCTACCTGGGCTTCTAAACTTTTCCAGGCCATAAATCGCCTAAATAGACGTGTTGACACCACCAATCAATTGACGTACTTTTTAAAACTGTCAAAACGAAAATCTCCCATAGATTTTGTATGGCACTACAAGCAAGTGACGTCACTATTTTGTCAACTCAAATAAACTACTTTTTTCAATTACAATGCGACCAAAAATCGTAATTTACAAGTAATTTAAAATTAATTAAGTTATTAAGACCAGAATGAAGTGTCCTTTTAGGAAAGTTGTGATTTCGAATTATTGGAGAATGGTGTCAAACTGTCCATTGTGTCGTGCCGAACTTGTATTTTTAATGATTTTTAGTCTTTTTCTCTATACAATTGTTCAAAATTCAATTTGAAGTTCAAGATATTAAAAAGATATGTGCTTATTTAAAGCAATAATGATTTTAGTGACACTGCATGGGTTTTATAAACGCAGGGTGTGTTTGTTTTTCATCGAAATCTCCCAGTTTGAGATGGTCAATGTCATAAAAAGTCAGTTTTTTATAATTATGCTTTCACAAAGCACTTATAGACAATGGAAAATAAACATGTGCTATATATTTATTAATTTCGCCCCGAGATACCCTCCACTTAAGTTTAAACTCTGTAAATTCGAATTAAAACACCCTGTATTATTTCACAGGGACCTAAACCCTTCAAACGTGCTCCTCGGTTCTCACGGACAAGTGATCCTAACCTACTTCATATCCTACCCCGGCTTGGACATGGCGCTATCCAAAACGCGGCCGAAACCGGGCGACGTCAACATGTATGTGGCACCGGAATTGTATTACAACACTATTGTGGATGAACGCGATGTGTCGAGCGATAAGTTGTGCGACTATTGGAGTTTTGGAGCCGTTATGTATGAACTGCTTTGTGGGGTGGTGAGTTTTGATTTTTGATTTATAAGTACTTGATGGACTAATGACCTTGAGAATATAAGATAGGTTAATATAGAGAGAAAAATACTGGTCTCAGCGACTAGCAGTCTGCTTGTAACCTCAGCTACAGCATTGCAGCCAAACGTCAAGTTAGTATGTAGTCTATGTATTTCATACATAAATAATAAGTAACCCGTATAAAAATTCGCGAAGAGACCCGTGTTTCTCTATTAATTGAAATGGAACGTAAAAGTTTCTTACTACAACTTGGCTTGACACGCTGCCGCGTGTCTAGATCTTATTGTATAAGATAACTGGCAGTGGCTAAGTGAGAAAAGCACAGACCGTTTTTTTTTTGTTTTACACACCTATTACAAAACTGGTACTGACCTTTGCACTAAATATTTTTTACATCGAAATTTGGATTTCATCAAAGTGAAATCCAGTCAGCTAATACAGGCCTTATGTATACTTTTTAAGTCTAATTCTTGACTTATGTGTCGTTTCTTAGTAAATACTCTCATTACATAGATGCTGTGTATCTCTACACTCTATACCTATTTAAACTCATGAAAACAATTATAATTTTAGTATGGACTTTAGTGCTTAAGTAGGTACATTCATTACTTTGTAGAGTTTGTAGTCATAAAACATCTATCTTCTTTTTCAGCCTTTATCATACTACCACAGGAGTGTCTTCACGAGTCACACCATACTACAACTACCCGACGGATTGCCGGTGGAGGTGGAATCATTGCTAACACAGGTATTTATAATTTACTAGCGGCCGCCTGCGACTTCGTACGCGTGGATCCCGTTTACCCCCTTATAGTCTTTTTCACGTAAGATGATCCGTATGACACTTCAAGGTTATCCATATTACGCATACTACATATGCAGAATATTTTTGAAAAAATATTTGTATTTTATTAGCAATATAATAAAAAAAAAACTACTTGTCTTAAAATATATAGTAAAATCTGAGTCTATTCATTATTACATTTATTATATTTTAATTAAATACGATGTAAAAATATTTTTTATTTATTGTACGTAGGGATTGCAATTGCTGGATCCAGCATACAGCAATCCAGCTGGATCCAGCGCCTTTTTAAACATGCTGGATCCAGCATACAGTGCTGGATCCAGCGATGCGGATCCGCAAACGTATAATTTTCTATTGCTTAGTTTCGAATTGCCGCCATTTTCAAAACGTCGCGGTTACGTTGCCGTTCTGTTGTTTTGTGCGTTGAACGGCGCCTCTTCGAAGTTACTGGTACGTTAGTGTGATTGAAAAATCCAAAAAAGTATGAAGAAGCAGTAAAAAAAACTGTCTATTTTCCTTTGCCAAAAAGAATTAAGATAATATGGCAGCCAAAGCCAAGTGGTCAATTAGATTACGAAAAGGTACTGTAAAAAGAAATGAGCGTATATGAGACCGGACGAGTGCGAGGTTAACACTTATCTATGGTGTATGACTATTTCTTCTTCTTCTTACTCGTTACGCTCTTGGCAGAGCGGTCGTGGTCATTCTACTATTCACTATTTAATGATCCTAAAACCGACCAGTGTGGAAACCGAAAGGGCATTCTCAGTAATGAATCGCAAAATGTGTTGGTAAGCGCAGACCTCAACAACGCCTGGACCAATTTTTTTAAATGTTCGTTGAAGTCCAAGGATGGTTTTTACGGCGAGAAAAATACGAACAATGTCTGGGAAAACCCTAAAAACAGCCCTTTTTTAACGCGGGCGAAGCCATGGGCGGAAAACTAGTTACTTAATAAAAAAAAGTCTTAAAAATGTCGTCTTTTATTTGCGTTTCACATTTTTCTGGATCCGCGCTGGATCCAGCTGGATTCAAGTCAATCCAGCAAGAATCCAGCTGGATTGAAAACGCCGCTGGATTGCAATCCCTAATTGTACGCAATGTGTGAAACGGAATAGATTTAGTGCTGGGGTATTTCTTGTATAATAAAATCGATTATTTCCGCGGTTCATTAATCGATTGCAGTGAATACTTAGTTATTAAAAATATCACAAAAATCAACTATATTTTTCGATTATTGACTTTAATAAACGCATTGAAAATAAATTAATAGTTTTTAATTTAAAGAAACAGAACCAGTACTTTTTAGGAATCGTTTTTTTGAACACGAACCATGAAATTTGAATATTATCAATAAAAAATTGTTACAATAATATTTGTAATTAAAAAAAACATGTTTTTTGTTAAATAACACCTATACAAAATATTTCTCTAAAAGTAGGTTTTACTAACTCTTCGAAAAAAATCGATAGATAAATCGCTATGGTTTAGTTATGTGACATCTCTAAATCTTTCAAACTCGAAACGTCATACGGATCATCTTAGGTGAAAAAGACTATAGGGGTGGAGTTATGTAAAATCCTTTTTTGCGGATGCCTACGTCATAACATCTACCTGCATGTCAAATGTCAGCCCGATCCGTCCAATGGTTTGGGCTGTGCGTTGATAGATCACAATGTCAGTAAAAAAAAGGGGCAAATTGCTGGAAGACTAATTTTTTTGCCGTTTTTTGCTCGAAAACCTTAATTTCAGGAACAAACTATTTAAGAACAGTATACTGAACCCTCGGTGGTCAAATCTGACTCGTACTTGGCTGTCTTTCTTAAAAGCCGAAAAAGAAAATAAATTACTTAAATAACTTTTTTTACTTTAATCTTTCAGCTATTAACCTACGAACCCTCAGAGCGTCTAGGCGCCGGCAAAGACGGCATAGACGAGATCAAACGGCACCCTTACTTCAAGGGCATCGACTGGCGGCACGTCTACGACACCTGGCTGGTCCCGGATTGATGCGGTTCACAGAAAGATCACGCGCAATCGGCAACAGAGTTGCACTTAGTCTGGTAAGGCCCAAATGTAGTATTTAGTTAGGAAGTACTCAATTGAGTAACCAAAAACCAATATTTGCAAGACTCAACTTATTTGAAAACAAAATATATATAATAATTTGAAAAAATCGAACTGCCTAAGGCGGGAATCGAACCCACGAACTTTCGCTTGCCGGGCGGCTGCTCTTCCAACAATTCTAGAAAATCAATTTATTCTATCCCTGAAATTTTTAACAAATTGTCAGTCAATTTAGTTAGAATACGCTCCGCGATAAGCCCATACATTTGTCGTCTAAAACATCGATAAGATATCACGGCGGTTATCCCGATTGATGACGTCATAGTCCCTATTGTCATACAATTCTATGGGAGTCACGTTTTGAAATCTATCAAAAAGTATGTCAATTGGCTATTAATGTGTCTACTATATATATAGTCTGATCGCCGAGCACGTAGAATTTCGTCTAATGACCCTAAGCTACCCATCTTTATCGTTCGCGCGTAATTATGTTGCCGTCGCGCTCGCACACTCACTGCGGGCGCCCGTCGCACAGTCGCGACAGCAATATAATTACACGCGAGCGATAAGGATGGGCAGCTTGGGGTCATTGGACGAAATTCTACGTGCTCACAGACCGGGCTTTACACTATTTTCTATCAAATTAAGTAGTGGTGGCTTGCTTTACGAGGCATAATAAAATCAACACATATTCGGAAACAAAGATGTATTCATAAATGTTATTATAATGACACTGAGAAATGGGCCTTACAAGCATAGACTTTAAAAAAATAGACTT